TCTCTCCTTTGCTGCTTCCATCTCCTGAGCCCTCACTCTTGGTGTTTCAGATAGAACTGGAGAAACACTGAATATTTCGGGCCTTGTCTGTTTTGGCTCAGGTGCTGGGTATCAGACCTCCTGGAGGAGGTGGGAGGGGAGAAAGGAAGGAGGCTGGACTGGGACAGGTAATCTTCCAACAGGAACCTTCACTCTCTCATAACAAAAGGGGGATAGTTCCCTTTTGTCTGGGGCTCCAGAGGGCTTGTCTGGGCTGCTGGCCGCCACCAGTCGGTTGTGGGGCAGGGGGAGGGGGCCCTAGGGCTGTGCTTGAAGTGGTTCTAATGGAATCTGGGCAATTCTTACAGGGAGGAGGGAAGAAAGGAGAGAGGAAGGGCAGGAAGAGAGGGAGTCTCCATTGGTCAGGTGGGCCTGGATGGCCTCCCGTGAACAGCCCGAGGGAGAGGCTGACCAAGGGTCCTTTGCCCACTTTCAAGATTATGGCCACTGGCTAGAGAAGCAAGTTGAAGATTGTTTCCCTCTCCGTCCTCAACCCCCAGGGCCTGCAGTGTGTGTGTGTGTGGGGGGGGGGTGTCTGTGGAGTTCTTGAGCGTCCCTTAGCTACTCTATTGGATCTCTGCTCTAGGACCTTTGACCCTTCCCTGAAAGTGAACCCTGCCCTAGGTCTATCTCCCAAGGCTCTAGAGATCTTTCCCTGGAGATCCAGATTCGGCCACGTGGAGCCCACCTCTACCCTCTACTCAGCCTGTATGCAGGCCTGTGGAAAGGAGCACACCAGGATTTGACAGGCAGGAGGTTCACGTTGGCTGTTTTCTAACATTTAGTATAATCAGAATACCAAAAAGCCATTTCCTGCCAAATATAAACTCACTTTCAGCTTTTACAACTTAATTTTTTTTTGAAACAGGGTCTCTCACTTTGTAGGCCAGGCTTGACCTTGAACCTACAATCCTTATGCCTCAGCCTCCTCAGTGCTGGAATGAAAGGCCTGCAAGGCCATGCAGGCCTGGCTACAGACTCATCTTGACTTTAGAAAAAAGCCAGATTGCTTTCTCAAGGCAGAGGGACAGAGTTCAGTACCTTGTATCCTAAGCCAACATCTTTGGCTGATTGGACCAAAGCCGGTTGGTTATTCATAGGATGTGAATTATTGAACACCTCCCGAAGAGGAAGAGGCCCGTCTGCAATGGAACCTGTCTCCTGCGCTGTCCCCTCTGACTGTGTTTCTGGAGCCTACTCCACTGGAGTTGCCAGTCAGCACAGGGTCCACGCACTGAGTGGCACCTCTGCCTTTGTTAGGCTCCAGTGAGGCCCAGGGTGGGTGTTTTGTTTGGGCACAGCCCAGGCACTTTTCCGGGAACCTTTCTGCCTCTGCACAGTCGGCTGGAAGTGCAGGGTTTCATTTGGGGAGGAAAGGGGCCGAGTGAGCAGTGACCTTTTTCCTTTGCCAGCTGAAGGTTGAGCCTGGGGAGAGGGCAGCTATAGTTGTAGGGAGGATGAAATCGGGATCCCATCTGTGTTTCTGTCCGCCTCTCTGCTCCACCTTTCATTTCCCAATCATCTCTTCCGTACTGCTTTCTAAGGCCTAAGCTGTGGCTGCCCTCGTAGCTCTTACTGGAGATAGCCGCCAAGAAGATGGGGTTCCACCTCCCCAAGGCCCATCTTTCATGTCTGCAAGCTGAAGACCCGCTCCCTAGTGGGTAGCTGCTCTGTGACTTGGTTTCCACGAGGTGTCCTCAGGTTTCCCTCAGCTTTCTGATTCTACCTGCCCTTCCTTGCCTCTCCTATCTCACTATGCTTTTGCACCTTGCCCTTCACTTTGGACCCTTCAGCCTCCAAAGGCTGGGGGAACAGGTGAGAAGCTAATTCAGGTCAATTGGAGAGGGCAGAGCTAGGAAAAGAAGGACCCGGTAGGGGCGGGGCTGGGGAGGTGTGCGGCCTTGGTGAGCTCCGAGCTGGTGTCCAGCTTCTCCACTCCTGCTTCCCCTGGGCTGGCTTGTGGTGTTTGGGACTGCTGTAGTGCTCGTCAGCCGAGTGCTGCGACAGGAGGCTATTTTAATAAACTGTTGCCGTTTTGCGAGCCGAGCTGCGTTGCGTTGGCATCCCTCGTCACCACTAATGGAGTGTGTGTGGCTGGGTGTGGGCCGAGGGAGGCTGCTGCTGCTGCTGAGCTCGCTGGGGGCTGGGAAGAAGGGAAGGGGGCCGTGGATGTGTTCCCCCCTCCCCAGCCCTCAAATCCTGTCCTGCCTGTTGGGAGCCAGACAAGGGTGGGGGGAACGCAGGGGTGGCTGTGTGGGCACTAGAGTCCCTGCCATGGAAGTGCTGCTGGTGTGGACACTACCCCCAAGCTCGCTCTTCCTTCTGTTCCCGGTGCCGAGGGCTCAGGCTCCTGGTTGGGGAGGGTGGGGGACTAGAAAAAGAGAGTGCTCGGGCCTGAAAGACTGAAACCAAAACACAGAGAGAAGGCGCAGCTGCTTCCCAAAGGCCTTCTGGGGCTCCCGCCCGCCCCCGAGTCAGGCCTTTATTTATTTATTTTTTTGGCTTAAAAAATATTCTGTGTCTTCCCTCATCCCAGTCCCTCCCCCCCCCGCCCCTGCCCGCCCCGCTTCAATCCCCCCAAATTTGTTGGGTGGCTGCTGCCAAATGGACTAGTGGGAGCCTGGAATGAAAAATTCATAACTGCTGGACTTCACTTGTTCATTAGACGTGAACTTGTCGATTGGGCAAATTGTTTTTGGTCTCCAACTGCCGGGGGCTCTCCCTGCCCTCCCGGCTCCCCGGCTCCCTCCTCCCCTTGGACACAGCCATTGGCTGAGCTCCCTCATCTCTGCCAAATAGGTGGATCCTTCTTGCGCGCGCTAGCTCTTTCTCCCCCTCCCTCCCCCC